GTCTCTCGTAAACTTTTCGTACCAAACGGAGGTTCAAAGATTCCGCATATTTAAGAATTCAAAGAGCTCCTTCCGAAGGTTTGTTCAGTTTGTTTGAAAGTTATTCATGATCAGGAAAAGGGTAATAAGTATCGGTATTTCAAATAACCGAGTTTTATAATTCGTTCTGCAGTTTGGCAGATGTGATATTACAGAGACCGTTTAAGTTTCGCATCCGCGCAGAGAGATCAGCTGGGAGGTTTAAACGTTGGTGGTGGTGTGGGCAAGACCCAAAACTTCCAGGTTGTGCTAGAAAGATGAACCACGCAAAGGGTTCACGTGGTAGTAAATTGAAACAATCAAGTAAGTCAGTAAAATTTCCTCCTTGACTTTTCGGCTGATTTGTTACGCTTTGAATCAATAGCCCAACCTTGAACTGTGACGAACACCTAAATTTCTGTGATGTAAATTGTCAAATATCGACCCACCCAGTACGTGCAGGATTCGTATGTGGGGATTGTTGACCCCTCCTGTAGGTGTTAATGAAGATCTTTCTAGATTACGATAAAACTTAATTGCAAATGAAAATGGTTGTTAAAGGAACACTCAGGGAATTCTGCGTCGATTGATAAAAATTTGTGAAAGCGACTGACCATGCAAGCTGAACTGAAAGGGAAATGGATTTTGAGGAAAAAATTAAGAAATAAAATGAAAGATGTCGATTTATATATTTCGCAGAAATCATGACATTCCAAACAACAGCTCACCCTTTGGGAGGCAATAAAAGAGAGTAAAAAATATAGATGAGCCCTAAAAGCTAAAAATATTCGACCGAGTTCAAGAACTTTGATATTTTGTTTTAAATTAAGAATTCACAATCAGGTTTTTCCGATTTTTAAAATGTTTTCGAAAGTATAATTTTAAATATGTTTTTTATCCTTTTTCTACAGAATCACAACTACTGGACTAATTTGGGTTAACTTCGCGACACCAGTTAATTCCATGAACAACAACACGCCACAAATGAGGCTAATTTGTAAAAGCATGCACTGTGATGGAGTGTTTCTGAGTATCTCAGAGGCAAACAAGGACATGATTGGTCAACATCCTGAAGCAATTGCAGTTGAAATGGAAGGTGGAGGTGAGAATCATAATAATTAGAAAAATTGGTGAGCCAAGCTAAGACACAGTATTTGTACTCATAGCAAGTGTTTTAAAAAAGGATGCTTCGGAATCATCCCTGCTGGTCCAAGAATTATATCATGTAGCATACCAACTTTGCTGGAATATTTATAGTGATTTTGTGTTAGACTAAGGTAAGGTAGGAAAAATGTTTTTGCAGGTGAAAGTGACTGAGATGTGTTCTGGATATCCAAATTGAATATGCTCCCTCAGCATGTCAAGAATTGTTAAAAATTTTTCATCTGAAAAATGTAGAAAGTATCTTGTTAAATAGTTTGAAGCTTGAGGAATAGTATGACAGTTCCAGCTGTCAATCCTATAACTTCCATGAGTGACCAAGATAGAATTTCTCCTCACAATATCAATATGATATCAAGCAGACATGTAATGAGAATAGAAAAATATCAATCAATGGATATAAGTTGATCCAAAACCAAATTCTCATTACTAACTTCAAAGGGATTGTATGGCAGGCAGTGAGGAGAATTACTATTGAGATCTTGGAAATGAAAGAGTTAAATTTGATTGATAAAAGTTTGTCTTTTGAGAAATGTAGAAAGTTACTACTAGACAATGTGAAGCCTGAAAATTAGTTTTACAGTCTTAATGAACAACTTATTTTTTTTCATTATGGTTAAAATTATTATTCCTCAGGGTACCAACATCTTTGTGTGATGTGCATGTTTATAACAACAGCTAGAATACAAATTTTTGTGAACTCTAATTAAATAATTATTTTAAGGTAGGATCTAGTTAAGAAACATGAGTGTTCTTCTTTTTTCAGCAGTGTTTGCAGCAGCCCATGATTTTAAGACAGAATGGGTGGTAGTCAAGGGAATCAAAGACTTTGCAAATGAAAGGCAGTCTTCAAGTGAGAAATGGAAACAAATTGCTTGTGTGATGGCGGCATCTGTTGTGGCCAACATTTTGAATTATCCAGTCATATTCCAAGATTGGCCTCACTTTAGTGCAGGTAGAACTTTCTCAGTCTTCTTTTGTTACAGGGTTGACTCTGATTTAGATCTAAGTTACAACAGCATATTCTTGTATGGATCAAAAATCAAAATGAGTTATTCAGTAATAATTCACAAATAAGAAATCAATCAAGTTACCCTAATTTTGATTTCTGATAAGTTTAACATGGTTTCTTTAAGCCTTTACACCCTGACATCTATATTCAATATTCTCTGTACCTTTCTTTGTGTAAGTACTATGGAACTGGCAAGGAGAATTAGTTGAACATTCTTAAAGCTTCCTAGTTTGGCGATCATTTCCTCGTCATCTTTATGAATGACTCAGCAGTAGCGCTGTAAAGAGAATTTAGTTGCTGATCACTCCTAAGATTTAAATGTTGAAGTGTTTGGGAGAAACTTGAGTGTTCCATAGTAAGCTTGGTTTATACAACACAGCCAAAATATGGAAAACTCAGAATAATGACCTGTTCCAAAGTGATTTGAAGTGATTTTGAGATATGTTTCTGGGCCAATTTGCAACACATCAAATTGTTTTAAACTAAAAAATAAGAGTTATCCAGTACTGCACATGTAACTGTATTTTGATGTTGGAACTTTTTGAAATGCAAAGGAAAATGATGTTTACTTCTGTTTTTTTACCTTCTCTTGGAACCTGAATTTGACATCACATTAGTTTGAGATGAATGATCCAGATCTGAAATGGATATGTTTTGAAAAATTGCGTTAAACTCACGGCATTCTTTTTTTCGTTGATTGAATAATTTAGGTACCAATGAGTTACCCCCTCAAGGTAAGTCCGACATGTTTGGATGAGTGAAATAGTTTGTGTTGTTACGTGGCTGATTGTGATGTTTTTTGCTCACTGCGTACAGTAGTTACATGTATGTAAGGATTTGTGCATCAAAGAATGCATCAGAAGTTTAGAGTTTTTCCATTGAACAGACTTCATTTCATCACATTTTGCTTCTTTGAAAGGTTTGCACAAACTAATAACTTTTTACCACCTACTTTCCTTGGGTGTTAATTGTGAGCCAACCTTCAGTTGTTAGCTGTGGATTTCATAACTTATCAACCTGACAGGTGGTAACGAGTATGCAGTGAGGACTGAGCACTATTTATTTCCTTCTTCTATAACTTATCAACCTGACTGGTGGTAACGAGTATGCAGTGAGGACTGAGCACTATTTATTTCCTTCTTCTAGATCGG